ATATATATATATAATATATATATATATATATATATATATATATATATATATATATATATATATATATATATATATACATATATACTATATATATATATATATATATATATATATATATATATATATATATATATATATATATATATATATATATATATATATATATATACATATATATACATATATATATATATATATATATATATATATATATATATATATATATATATATATATATATATATATATATATATATATATATATATATATATATATATATATATACATATATATACATATATATATATATATATATATATATATATATATATATATATATATATATATATATATATATATATATTTAAGGTTTTGCAAGTTCTCTTTTAATAAATAATGAAAGGCAACACCCTGAAGATCGATTTGGGGAAAATTTCAATTATAAAAGTGGGTCAACGAGGGAACGAAACGAGAGCGACGTTTCATATTACGACTCAAAATATGACGACAGTTCCACCATTAAACAATTAGATATGAAACCGCCTAAACCGGAGAAAAAAAGCAGTTTGGAAAAGGTATCTATGTGTTAGATAACAAAATGGGATTTAATTAATGACTTACAGAATCTATTTTATCCTTCAACTGTGATTGTAATTTTAAATCAACAATCAATCAATGTTGACATAATCTATCAAGAATTCTTCTAAAGTCAAGTCATCAAATGATAGGTTTTAAATATACAGCAAGTGTAAAAATTATGTATTAAATAAAAAAGTAAATTAACAAATTTTTATTTCTGCGACGCACGAAGTACCAATTTTATATTTATCTAATTTAACTGCCCTGAATTATAAAAGGCTGATGGTCAAGCAAATCTCAAAATAAAACGTAGTACTTGGAAATCTTAAATCACCAAACTCTTAAATGAAATTTGATATTTTGTGGTTTTACGAAAATCTGTTTTTACTTTTCCTGTAACTCACTAAAGAAAAGTATTGCACTCTTAGAAAAATATTCATAAAACATCCAACAAATTTAAATTTGCGTGTTTTTTTTATAAATTATGATATAGAATGTCAGTTGCATTGATATCTGAGTTAGTGATATAGATTAATTCTAATATTTTTAAGGAGTATCGAAAATAAGACGTCTTCAAATTTCCATAGAAATGAAAATCTATAATTAATCCATAACAGTTTCAACAAACGTGGATCTTGGTAACTCAATATTTGTCTGCCTATACTTACATGATCTTATTTGTTTGTTGTCTGGTATAACTACCGATTTGCTTAATAAGTATTACATAATATGCAATTTGCAGGTTAAGTCTCTTTTTACCAGAGACAGCAAAAAGAAAAAAGAAAAGGCTCTCCGTGAAGAAAGATTAAAAAATATGAAGTATCAGAAAGATAAACAAGATGTGCGCAACAAATACAATACGCACGAGCGGACAGAACCTTATCTCGTAAGTTTGTGAACTACAACTTTATTTTGTCATATGAAGAGAGGCGGCAACAATACCGTACGGCTTGCCTGCCAAGGCGCCACTACACTAAACTTAATAACACTGCCAAATTTTCCACAAATATCAACCAAAATGGTTAAAATAATAAAAAATCACTTAAAAAGGGAACCATTTTCACAATTTCCTTTATGGCTAATAATTCACCTTTTAAGAATGTTATGAGCTTTTCAAAAATATGTAACACGTAAAAGGTCATATTTTGAGATACACTCTACATACCTACTTATACAAAGTAAACTAAGTAGTGTTTCTTATAACTGATTATGTTATGCTCTTTTGTTATTCAGACTGACGATGATCCATATCTTAGCAATATCGACGACGAAACCATAATTAGTGTAACGAACTCAAATTCACGAAATTTACGATTTTTTGGCGATACAGATGCCGAATCGAATGATAGCCTTAGAGCTCTCAATAAACCTATTTTAAAGAATGGACCGACAACAAGAACTCGACAAGTAAGGGATGTTCCATCAGGAAGGCAGGATACGGGGCGGAAAAAAACTGGTCATACACTGACCTCTGTTAAGGACAGGTACACATATCCACTAATTCAAAATTTAAATACACTTTGTCAATAAATAAATGTTATTGTTCAAAATTCTTTAGAGAGTCGAGAGGATCCTATCTCAATCATAAACCACCAATATCCCCTAGTCATTCACATATTAAAGGCAAGCAATGGGAGGATAAATTGCGCATAAGCAAAAACGAACTTAGCTCACTGGAAAGTTCCACTGAAGGGGAAAGCAGTCAACAATCTCAAAGAAGTGTAGTTTATTTACACGCAGCATCAGGTAAAACATAATTTACTTGTGCAATAATTACAAGGCTACCCCTTCCCAAATAAGAAGTTTGGTGTTGGTGACAAACTAAAAACCATTTATTTTTCATATATAAGTGTCTCCATAAGTAAAAAACTTGCTATCCGTTTTTTAAAACCAAACAGGAGCAATACCTAATGAAAGATTTAAAATGTTACTTTAAAAAAATGTTTTTGAATAACCCTCAACCAACTTAAAATTGTTTTGTCAAAATGCACCAAAAGTACTTGAAAACCGCAAAAGCAACCAAAGTTTTTCAATTAATTGCTAACAGAATGGATTACAACTTATATTTTTTGTATTTTTTCTTTTTCCATTAACCCCCAGTTTCAATTTCCATTATTTTTTCAATTTTGGCCTTATTACAGTTCTGTTTTTTTTTTTAATAAACCAGGAAAAATAAATCATTTTGTAGTTGGAGACATTCCTAGTCCAGGCTATTTACGAAATGGCCGACGCACCGCATCCAGAGAGGAGTTATCTTCAAACGTGTCGAGTCGAATTCAACCCCAAGTAAAGACACTTAGTAGATCGTTTTCGGTTTTGGCACCATGGAAACCTCGGCATTCTAGAGAAAGTTTGGATATAGATTACTCCCAGTATTCTAAAAACAATAAATACGATCGTAAAACCAAATCAATTCCAAGAGAACACCCAATAGCATTAAGGAAAAAAAAGCAAGACAGCGGGAGGACCAACTTAAGAGAATCAAAAAGCAAAGAAAGTCTAACTTTGAGAACATCAGCGGAGGAAACCGAAAAGGGTAATAAGAGAATTATTTTTGGCAATTTTCTTGTTTGAATGATTATTTGCTAGGATCGAGTTCTACATTGTATAAAAAGAAAAACCGACTGCCAAAAGAAAACCACAGATACACCAAGGATAAGGAAGAAAAGAAAATGTCTAAAAGTCATTCGGCAGAGTCGTTAAATCGTAAATGTAAAGATACAAGGCCAGATATTTCAAGGTCTGTATCTATGCCTAGAGATACCAAGAAGATGGCAGGGTGGTTTAGAAGGTCAAAAAATTCATAATAGGTTCAATGTATCATATTATATGAAGACTAATTATAGATACCTTAATATAGTATAGTGCCATCTATAGATTTCTCACTAATTTAATTTTTGTTAAATTGCGATGAGAATAATGCTAACTCCGTAACAATTACTATTTCAACACAAAAATTTGTCGAATCAAAAATGTTACACTGATAGAGGTCATGTTTGTGTGCCAAAGAAATATGTGGCCATAAATCTAGGATAGCAATTATTAAAAAAAATCTTAAGGGTGGGTTAGTTTTGGATAACTATAAGAGAATGTTTCGTTATTTTTGGTACCTATCTATCCCCCATTATAACTTACACAGTTTACCGAAATCGGATCTAGAAACTCATATGGTTGCAAAAGGACTGCTGACATTTTTTTTTAACCAAAACTGTTTAAGAGTTGAAAAATAATAAATATAAAACGGATGCTAACACTGCAGTATGGATATAAGTAACAAAAATACTTTTGTGTTGGCAAATAATATGTTTATTTTTCTACCTCTTCGATAATCACTTGTCTTCCTTTCTTAATTTTTCGTTTTGATATTTGTGACGTATTGGTATGATCTATATCTATATCATTGTTATAAATTTAATGATATAGATAAAATTTTGAAAAATCAAATGTGTATGCAAGAAAGGTATTTCGATTAAAATTATGCGACTGTAAACCTGTGTTATGTAACCATTTAAATAAATAAATAAATGCACATATTGTAAATTTCACTTTTTTTAATATAAGACCCAGTTCAACACAGAACCTCGCCTCAAAAGAAATTAAAAAATGAAGTCCATAGCTAATCAACGAAAAACCGGACATCTTGTGTCACCCAAATGATGCAAGTTGAATTACTGTTTGTTATGTTTGCTAACAGTAATGGGCAGTAAGAAAAAATAGTTCATTAGGAATTACAATTCCATTAAGGATAGTTTGTTTTGGTAAGTCATAAATAAAATGCAAATTTATATTTATATGCTCCTAGGTAATATTATTTTGCAGTCTCGCGTGTGGTGATTCTATTTGTACATTTCCACAAACATTAATTAAGTAAAGGTACTACACTCATAAAACATTTATTAGTAAAACTTAAACATTTGCACTTAATCTAAATCTATGAGAATACTTGAACTCTCCAGAGGCCACCGCACCTAAAATTTAAAAAAATATACCAAGAACAAAAGTAGTTAAAAGATAATTATTTGCTAAATTTTAACTTCTTGTTTAGTATGCAAGTAATATATTTGACAAAAACGAAACCGTAAGCCGTTGCATTCTTTCTTTTTGAAAATGACAACAAATACTACATACTGGCATGAACGTAACCATCTTTGGTCCCATGCGCGTATGGCAGCAGTTCTGGTCACGTGGGTTGTACCCGCCGATCCAGTGCAGCGAACACAATGCTTCACTACCCTAGGCGTCTTTCCCAAGAATAAATGACGAATAGAGTCTATGGTCTGACCTCCCGTCGATTCTGAATTACTTATTAGGCAGTCGGGTTCGCTATTGTATTTAAGCTAAAACAAAACAGTATTCCATCAAAACAGAAACAATATCAATTTGCGACAACAAACAACCATCTTCTTTGATTGTTTCCAGTTATTGAGTTAGTTACTAAAACATATATTGACATGCTGGTGGTCCTGACTAAGACAACTCAATGTCCTTAAAAATAAAGTTAATTATTATAATGAGGTGTAACACAAACAACAAAATAATATAAACGGAGAATGTACTTGAGCATAGCAATGAGTCATTCAACTGAATTTTTTATTTCAATAACATTACCCCATATTTTGATATTTTTGGTATGGTAAGATAAAATTTACCTGTAGGGGGAAGGTTTGTTGAGCCAATTGGGGTGATGCCAATACAGTTCGGTTATTAATCTGCTGCATTGGCTGCACCTGAACCTGATTAGGTAGTAAGCAACAATCATCTAGGAAACAAAGAATAACAGATCTTAGGTATTCGAATGTAATCACTTACCTATTAAGGCATCATCTGGTTCATTGACGTTTTGCATAAGCCGACCCAATAATCTAAAACGAATCTGCCACGTTTCTACTAATTGATAAAGTTTACACTTACACAGAAACAAACTTCTAAGGAACACTATTTAATTAAAAAATGAAAATTTATTACCTACCTAAACAATAATGCCAAAATATCTAAAGTCGCATCTGATTTAATAAACACCGGCAGACATGCAGGCCTGAGCAGTCCCCAAACCCGTATCAAAACTAACATTTCCCTTAAAATATTTAAGGCTTTTAAGTCTTTAATAAGCTCATATGATTTTCCAATTGATGGTCTAGTTTCTGGCAATTTTATAAGCAGATTTAAAGTCAAGTCTGCAATCCACTGAATAAGTTGTTGCAAGCTCTGCAAGGTTGAAGGTTCCACTGTGAATTCTTTTGCTTCCAAATGCATCAAAACTTTATCAACATCAGTCTGACCTTCGGATATTACGGCTTAAATGAACAAAAGAGCATATATTATGTTCACATGGGTTCTGTAGAAACCATAAAACAAAACAAAGCATTCTAGCAGCCTTACCTGCAAGTGAATCGGCAGGACTTTTTTCGTGACTATTCATTTCACTAGGCCTTAATAAACTTTTAAAAGCTGTGGAAATACTATGCAACATCAAAAAATGTGTCAAATCATTGGCCCTTGATTGACCATTCGCGCTCAACCTTGCATAAAAAAATGCACGTTAAAATACACCCATGTGGAGTAAAAACAATATTACCTATATAATGATGTCTTAATACATAAGTACTGCAGATAAAAAAACTGTTGTACTGGTGCTGTTTGTCGATTAAAACTTTCTATGAGTCTTTCAGAAATTGCTTCTAGCATGCTGGGTCTAACAATGAGTAATAAATCCAAACAATCCAATCCACAAATCAGACAGTACTACAACACAGATCATGTAGGTATTATACATGACATTATGTTAATGGGATTACATATTATCAAATGTATTATATAAATTGATAAACTCATCTAGTATTGCAGGACCAGTACAAACCTCAAGAATAGTTGTGCAGTATGGCACACTAAGAGTTGCTGAACTCTCAATTTGAGGAGGCAACTTAAATAAATGTAAACCATCATCAGAATCAACCACCAACAAAACATTTCCAAGCCATGAGGTGTCAATGCTACATATTTTTGCACTTGTCCTTGGAAATTTACCTAGAGGTTCTTCATTATATCTATGAACAGTAGACAATGTAGTACTAACAATGGGTTTCAATGTGTCTCTGTACAAACAATGAATTGTATTGTCTGCAAATGTAACCACTATGTACCCACAAGATATGCTATTTATAAGGCTTAGCTTGCTTGTAGTTAGTGCTGTTACTTTGTGATTATACTGAAAGTGACACTGATACTGCCATAACTGAAAACATTAATGGATAAAAGCACATTCTGGATTTCAAAATTTAAAACAATATACCACCGTGTTGAAAAACTGTGCTGATTCCGAGTTTCCAAATGACTTGTGTATTGGTAATGCCTTTTCTCTCAACTCCCAAACTTGTAAACAACTCATCTTTTCTCCATTCGCAGCAACTACTAATGAATCCGCATCTTCTCTCATGATCCACTTTAAGTGACTTACGGTACATTTTCTGTCTTTAGCAATTTGTTCGACTTAAACATTAAGTAAATTTAAATATATGTTAAACCCTAATACAAGCCCGCATATCAAAATAGCAAACTTGATTTTTGCTTTGCACTCAAGAAAATAATTGACTATAATGAATTATACTTACAAAGAACTTCTTTGGGGGCTTCAAACAAAAAGAAACTCAATAAAGATTGACTGGCAATAATACATTTCTCTTCAACCTTAATTACAGAAACTTTGTAGCATTGAATCGGCATAGATGAATCTCCACTACTGACAGCTACCAAAAAGTGTCCATCTAAAAAATTTGGGAATTCAATATGTAAAGCAACTTTATGTAATATTTTACGAACCACCTATGTTATTGCAAATCAAGTGAATGCATTTATAGACACAAAAACACTTACTTTTTCCATAGCAAATATCTGCAGTTTTAATAAATATTCTAGTGGGTCCCAAACTTTCTGTAGTAATAACCATTCCACTTTGGCTAGCATTTTGAGGTAGCAACACAGCAGCTAGCATACCTGTTGTAGTCAACAATAATGCACCATTGGCTGGTCTCCCACCAAACTGTTTTACTGAACATGCAAACTTTACATGCTGAAATTTTTCCAAATAACTTGAACAATCTTTTTTCTCTGTGTTTAAACAAACCTACAAGAAAAACATTAAAAAAAAAGTTAATTTTTCATGATTCCTAATTTGATACATTACTTTCTTTCCAGGATGGAAAAAAGCAGCAGCAAGTATATGTTCTCCTGGAAAGACTGTTTGCAACAATAAATTCCAATCATTTAAAATGTGGTCTTTTATTTTATATATCCTAATGCATCCATTTTCATCTCCTATTAGTAAAAGTTCTCCGGTAAAATCCCATTGCAGCACTGTTACTGGGGATGAATTGCATAAAATTCTAAAAGTAATAACAGAAATAAGCAAAACCAAATAAAAAATAACTAAAATATGGTCTACATACTTGTGAATCTGCCATGGACTATTAAGATCACAAATATACACATTAGAGCTGAAAAGCAATGAATTGTGTTCCTCAATATTACATTGGGTGTTGAAAGCAATAACATTTGAACAGGATACTGAACATATAATTGACTTCTCAATCCTAAAACCATTGGGTATTGTAAATACAGCCCATCAATTTGAATTATTAACTTACTCATTAAAAACATTGAGTTTTGTAGCAAATGATTTATTAGGTTTTTTGGTAACGGTAAAGATGTTATCCATAATTTTACACACACAAATTAAACGAAAACAAACGTTTGTTTTACTGAATATTTTATAACCTCATATTACCCTACTATGTTGAATAAAGTGTTCAGTTTCTTCGTGTACAATAAATTCGCAGACACTACAGGAAGTTCTTAAAATAGGATAACAATTTTGTGATACAAATATAAATACAGTTCTCTCACAAAAAAATGTCTCCTTTACTACAGAAAATAAGTTAGGTTATCTCGAAACTCGAAAGCTTAGTACAAAGTGTGACGCCTATGTTACTTTTTAAAACAACGAACAAGAACAAAAAAATCTGTTTCGCATTTTAGCAAATTTTGGGCAAATAGCAATTGTTAAATTTGTTCCACAGCTGCCTTTATTACCAGAATGAAATTAAAATGTTCCATGGAGAATAAAACAAAAAAACGATTTTTTGTAAACGTCTAAATACCGTATCGATATTAAGTAAATACATATACTTGTTATAATATAATTTTGGATCTATTTGAGAAAACATTGTTTGAAATATGAAGCCCCAAATTTGCCAAGCATGTACGAAATAATTTTTTTTATTAAGGGATAGGCTATTGCCGAACGCTTTTCAACAGTCGCTCACTTAAGGACAAATACTTATAAACCTTTTAAATTCAGAGCGTCTTTGAAGATTTTCAATGGGCACAACCTGACAAGATAATTCGCTTTATATTAACTGAAAATCCAGTAGAAGTGACAACATTGGCAAAGACCCTGACTGCTGGTACCGCTGGTACGATTCTACAACCTGTTTTTATGGTGCAGTGGTGGGTGTTTAAGTTGTCATCATCCGTCACTGAAAATTCTTTAGTCTTTAAATTGCAAGTTAAATAGAAAGTTTAACTTTTTAGTAGTTGGTTTTTGTTTAGTGACCCTGCAAGCTTTTTATATTGAATCTCATATTATATTTTACGGTAAGTTTTTTTGTCTATATAGGAAATATGTGCAATTGCAGATCCGTGTATAAATTACAAGAGCGCAATTTTTACAATAACCATTGTTCCCAGCAGATAGTTCAATTATATTTTAGTGTACAAGTATGTTGCTTGTGTCTACCTCGATGAGAACGGAAGCACTCAATTGAATTTTCGGGTCGTATGACAAATTGATACGTGTGTTGGTTTTAAAGGGAAAAATATATTGAATATTGCTTTAAAAAATGGTATGAATTTCGGCACTCTTGATTTGTATAGCATAAGTAATTTTTTGGTTCAAATTTACCCGAAGATCGTACCGATTTGACATTTAAAAAAATCTCATGACCATTATAAGTAAATAGATACAAGTAACAATTTCTATATTAATCTTTGTTTTTTTTATATAGAAAGACGTAGATAATTTAAATGAAGATTGCGACAATTATAAAGAAAATAATCATAAAATTTGTAAGGCACACATATTTACCGAAGATAGGAAATAGAGATTTTTATTATACAGGGTGTGAAATGGCTGTGAATTCGTTTTTTTTTTAAATCGATTTTCCTGGAAATTTGCATTTCAAGTAAGGTAAAGTACCCAATAACGACAGCGAAGGATTTTTTTAAAATAAACACCAGTTTTCATAGGCTTATTTGATTTTTTAAAACTTATAATCTAATATAAATGTCTCTCATGGTCTTGGATAAACCTATTTCTTGACATCATTTTAGTTCAGAACTTGACATTTTAACTTTACTGTCTTATTTATTATTTTAAATCAAGTTCTATCAACATTTTTCAAAGCAACTTCCACAGGCTACTGTAATACTTTTTATAAAACTTCTGGATTCCTCCTTAACTTACTAACGTTTCGCCAATCATCCTCAGAGCTTGACTGAAATTGTTTCAATTAAGCTCTGAAGAAGCAACAGGATGATTGGCGGGAACGAACGAACGGGAACTAGACACCCAGTTTCACTTGCGACCAAAAAATTGAACGGACTTGAATGCGAGGCTGACGTGGACTTATTTTACACCAGTTTGGAGTTCTTTACAAAAACTATCACTAAATACCTGAAAGTTCTATGATATACTTTGTTTGATTCTGATCTGCATTCGTGTTTATGTTATTCACTTAGTTCTTGTCTATTATTATTATTATTTATCATTTTTCTTTTTACTAAGTTCCTCTATGTACAATATACCTCTGAAGATGATCTACTGTTTTTGGCCGAAGCGTACCCAATGTTTACTTAATAAAAAAGTTTTATGTAATGGAATATCCAGTTTTTTTCGTTTGAATATTACTACTGTTGTTATTATTTTAAATATTCATCACCAAGACATATGTCCTACTCTGTATACCGTTTCACTTGCAACTGTGATGATCATTTATAATGTCCCCCCCCCTCTTTAACTTTTTTTTTAACGTTTGGGAAAAAAGCTTCAAATACAAAAGTTAAAAAATAGTAAACTATTTGTATACACACAGGATGTTGTAAAATCTCCACAGGTAAAATATATATATTTTTATTGAACACCCTGTATATTATATGCTTAATAAAATCTAAAAATTCTGCACATTTATTTATTTATTTGTTTATAAACAAGTCTTTTCTACAGACAGACCCAGCCGTCCAATAAAATGAAAGCACAAAATGCCACAAAAAAGATACTTTAGTAGAATAGTTTGAATTATTTTTTACAAGCTACAGTGTGTGCATATCGTCTTAAGTGTTGTTTAAAGGATCAAGATCCGGAAACTCGGTCTCTACCCTGTGATAAATACTCGTACATCTAATAATTGGAGAGTTAGAAGAATAGTTTGAGTGATATCCAGATACAGCGAACGTTTGCCTGTTTCGAAGAATGTAGGGATTACAGTTAAAGTATATTTTTTCCAAAGGGAAAGAAGATTTAATGAAATTGTTTACAACTTTATAAAGAAATAATAAATCAAAATTTGTTCTTCTGTAATACGTCCTACACCCAAATACCATAGTTTTTGAGATATATGCGCGTTTAACATAAAAGTAACATTCAAAAATAAAATAGAGTGGTTCTTCTCGTATGATGTATTTTGTTTTGTCAATAAACTTTTCTTTCAGGCTTTCTGATCTTTTTCTTATGGAAATATTGGGATTTTCTTGAACTTTTAGTAAATTCCTTAAATAACTGTCTTCATTTCTTTCCAATGTTTTTTTCTCTCTGGCTATGCTGGACTTTCGATGAAATTTTTCATAAATTGGATGAAAGGTTTTTTTTATCTGAATTGTTTTTCTATTTCAGAATAAGGCATTTTATAATAAAATAACGCAGGTAAATCTGTAGCTAGTAACTGTCACTCTCAGTTATAAACAAACAATCTGTTTTTTTGTTGACGAACTACTCTGCAGCCATCTAAGATATATAATTTATATTCTAGAATATTATTTTATTTTTGAATGTTGTTTTTATGTTAAATAATTGACAGTAGTTGTATTTTGATCAAGTAATTAGTAAAAAAAATCCCACAAGTAACGACACTATATAAAAAATAATTCTAAGCACCAAATATAGCAGTGTACTCAATTTAGCAAAAAAATGCAGAATAGCCTACCTAGACAGTAACCAAAAATTAAGGTGATTGTGGCCTGCTAATGAAAATTGCAAAAAACTCCTTACTTCTTGACTTATCCATAGAAACAAAAAATGCAAATTTTTGTCCATTACATTTTTATATAGTAATGATGAAACATATTCTTCTATTGCATTGCATTTTTGTGTGTTTTAAAACTCAATAATAAAAATAATAAAATATCTTTATTCTTCAACAATTATTCGAAAATAGATCTACGGTGCCGGTGATTTAATGCACCAAAAGATATTTTGCAAGGTTCAAAATGTATGGGTATGGATTTGACATAAACTTTGATTTACCTTTATTTTAAATGCAATTTTATCATGGGGATGCCCATTTTTCGACAGAATCACGTTATTATATTTTTACTAAACGTAATGGAAAGAAACCGAATGCTCTTTTTAGATGTCGACCTTACTCAAGTGGGCGCAAAATACTCAGGTGAAACTCAATGGAAACAAGAGCAGCTCCAGCGGTGAACGAAAATGGATCCATCCACCCGAAGCCCTACAGAAAGGTCACATTGCGTACCTTGTAAAGTTTTTCGGAAATAGTATAGTAGATCAACCCAAAGGTACAGTAGGCAAACGAATCACAATTTTATTTAATAGTATCTCCTATATCAGAAATCCCCGTAGAGTTTAAATTTTAATTATGACTGTTAGTTTAGTTTTAGTTTAAGAATAGTTTAACCGACCATATATATTAGTTTATATATAGGATTCTATCCAAAAATAAAGTTGATTTTGTTAAGTTTCCCGATAATAATCTCTTACACTTTTTTAATTACTTAAAAAAAAGGATTATTCGCAAAACTCCAACCATTTTTTAATACCTTGCTCTTAAACAAAAAGACACAAAAAACTATGTTAACTCAAACATTGAAAACCATAAAACTGGTATAAATAAGTTTTTTTTAAAGATCTTCTTGCTTCTATAGTAGGCCTATGACCTATTCTTTCATCGATCGCCTCTCAACCTGGATTGAGATCGTCGTTCCATCTTTTTCTCGGCCGTCCCACGCTCCGTCTTCCGTCTGGCGATTTGTCTCTAACGATTTTTACTACTCTGCCATCGTGCATACGGTTAATATGGTCATTCCACTGTCTTTTTCTTTGGAGCACCCATTCGTTCACGTTGTCCACTCCGCACGAGTGCTGATGTTTTCGTTTCTTTCTCTGTCTAGCAGTGTTTTTCCTGAGATACGGCGGAGAATCTTCATTTCCGTAGTCTCCAGAAGTCGTCTAGTTTTTGCGGTATCTGATCTTGTTTCTGCCGTGTAGATCATGATCGGTCTGATCGTTGTTTTGTTGACTCGTACTTTTGTATGTTTTTTCAGATGTTTGTTTCGTCAAATTACATCGTTTAAGCAGCCTGTTATTGCCTTTTGCTACCTGTTGCCTTACTTTGTCCTCCACATTTCCATAACTGGTAATGTCAATGCCCAGATATTTAAACTCCATCTCTTGTTGAATTACTTGGCCGTCCACTTCCAGTTTACATCTGAACGGCTCTCTTGATGTGGTCATACATTTCGTTTTGTAGGCTGAGATAGTCATGTTAAATTGCTTGTCTGTGCGGTTGAAGATGTTTAAAAGTCTCCGCAGATCGTCTTCGTTCTCTGCGCATATCATTGCATCGTCTGCATAGCAGATAATTCTCACTTTATCATTAGGCATTCTGTACCCTCTACCCAAACGAACTTTTTTTATCATCATCCATAATTATATTAAATATTAATATTAAATAACAACGGACTAAGAGAGACTCCCTGTCTGATACCGTTGTTGGGTTGTTAATGATAGTAATTATTATTAGTAGTGACTTGACCACGAAAGTCTGAAAAGTAATATTATTTCTTATAAATTTATTGTTCTTTAATAATTTCTAGTATTTCTGTGATCCCAGTTAATTCATTTCATTTTTATGATTAATTTTCTGTACTATGAACTGATTGTAGAATTATTTGAAATTAATTTATTCTTCAACGGTTAAAGGCTGTTAAAATTAGAAGCCGAGCGTTATGAATAAACACCATATTATTAATATTATGTTGTACTTATAAAATGAACGAAATTTAAAACTATTTTTTTGTTTGTTCATGACATGCTTGAGTACATAGTAATTCCGAAATAAATTGCTTTTCCAATAAATGCCGTTATTAAATGTTTTTATGGCCATCACTCTGGAACGAATGAAAATATTTGCATGCGATTTTTACATTATTTGTTTCAAAAACCAAAATTCCTGTGAACTCGCGACCCCCAGTAAAGAACGCAACACCAATAATTTTTAAAAAATTATGAAAAGAAGCGGCGATATTAAGGATATATTATATTATAGGTATCGAAGTGGTTAAGGAAGCCATTCGTAAGCTAAGATTTTCGCAGCAGATCCGAAAGAGCGAAACGGGAGAAAAAACGAAAAAAATTGAATTAACGATAAGCATAGATGGCGTGGCAATCCAGGAGCCCAAAATCCACACCATCCTGTACCAATTCCCGCTTCATCAAATATCTTACTGTGCCGATGATAAAGGCGAGAAAAGGTTTTTCTCGTTTATTGTCAAACAGCCAAATCAAGGTAAGAAACCAGAGAATGCAATTTTTAAAGTTAAAATCATTAGATACTTATTATTCCTACAGTTTCCGGCATTTTTTGTGTTCTCTAATAATAACTGACTGAACAATAATTTGCCTTTATACTGGATGGATATGGATAAAAGTGATACTAGACAAACGGATGCACCTAGAAATTTGAAATAAAATTAAAACCAAAATTGTTTTCATTTCTGTCAAAGGAAATGTTTATTTAGTTCTTGAATGGCTTAATTCGATAATAAAATTAACTACTTAGTCTTTAACACTTTATTAGATCTGGCGATTTGAGTAATTCTAATTTTTAATGGCAAAAAAGGGATACATACTTGAAAAGGGTTCGGAGTAAAAAAAAAACTTAGTAATAATGTCAGCTAGTGATTTTAAGCTCTCAAAAGTATTAAAGTAATAAAGACAAATTACGAAATTATTATTATTTTTAAATGGTATGATATGGTCTCCGAAAATTTTAAGTTCTTTCATAAAATTTCAGAAAAATAATAATCTGCTACAGAGACACAGGCAATTTTTACAAAATACTCACATTTAACAGGAGTATGGTTGTTATACATTAGCCTCACGGAAGTTCCTGTCGACACAATTTCCTCCCTTAGGCATGAGAAAAGGCCTTTTTTAATCCTTTTTGGAGTTTATTTTCGAAAATATTCGAACACAACAAAGAGCATTAAACCAACAAGATTTGCATTTGTCTATTACAATGCTCACCATACCTATAACAAAATTTTGAAGAAACTGGGTTCTAAAAATCAAGATTGCAATTACGCCCTCGGGTCAATCAAATCTTTTTTTTAAACTTGCTAGCATTATATGTTTTGATTAGTGTCTTTGTTGCCTTATTTTAGGAAGTAGCGAAGTTGAAGAAAAATATGAATGTTTCGTTTTTATATCCGATAAATTAGCGGAAGAAATTACATTGACGATCGGTCAAGCATTTGAGTTAGCGTACAAACGATTTTTGGATACTTCCGGAAAGGATCTGGAGGCTCAACGGCGAGCAATGATTACGCAACAAAAAATGAAGGAGATGGAAAATGAAAATAATATCCTGAAACAGAGGCTATTGGAAATATCTCAATTTGCCAGTATTAAATATGACCTCGATCAGTATTTACAAAAAAAATGTATTAGAAATATCTTGGAAATAAAATCAGCTCCAAATTCTTTTAAAGTCGATAATAAAATCGAATCCGCAGATAATTCCAAATCGAGTAACGGAACCGTTGCCTCGCCCCCAATATTGAACTTCAGTGAAGAGAATAATTTTTTGGGTAAGTTTTATTCATTCAAATATACAGAGTATTTCAGAAAGTTAGTATCAAATTTAAGTACATGACAGAGTAATAGCAAACAAATCGCGTAAAGTTCCTATAAACATATACTGATGTACAGTTAAAAAAATGATTCCTTAGTAGACGTAGTACGGTTTCATATAGCACACACTAAACTGCTAAATTGTCTGTATATCGGCATAGTCAAGCCCTTTATATTTCTGTAGCTATATAGAAATTTTTTGGAATAATAGAAAATTACTACACGAAATTAAGTTTATTGTCGATATTTTGAAAAATGAAAAACTCTAATAATAAAGATTAATTATCTTAACTAAAGAAGGTCATAAAATACCAAACAAATTTGAAAGTTTCTGTACAGAATCTTGTCAAAATTGTACTCGGTTCGTAGGGACCTATAATGGAATAAAACAATTTTATTTTTAAATAATTGAAAACCTTACTCTTTACGCAAAATGATTAAAATGAAGCGGTCAAATTTTGCCCTTACCAAATGAGTCTAAGTGGAAATTGCATTCTATTTTTCATATTTATTGTCTAAAGTCTAAATTAAAGCGGCACGCGTTTTACCTCTTTGTATATTATTTTAGCACCACCGGTACCGCCACGCTCGCTACAGAATATCCCGGCAGTAGGGACCAAGCTCGAGGGACTCCTACTGACTGAATTAGAACACGATGATAACTTTGATCCTCGATCTTTTGAACAAAGTAAAAATAGCCAAATGTCCAATTCACATCCAAGTAAGTGCATATGGTAAACGTAAAACTTTTGTTACTCTATGAACGGCTTTAGTTGCTCCACCGCCTAAGGCAGCCAGAAGAAGTAACGTGCTGCTGCAAGCCGAGCCGCCAAAAATAGATGAACACAAATTGTTTGGGATGGATCCCTTCGATGGCAATGGTAGTACTACCAACAGGTACATTTACTCTTTAATTGTCAATTATCACGAGTTTCATTAACGTGTCTTAAAAAAAGTATAGGCGCTTGCTTTAAAAACGTATTTAAAGATAGTTGTCGCTTATTAATTTGTTAAAATTTGTTCTAGTTCAACTAAGCCTAAGGTATTAGATCCATTCGAAATGGGAGATTTTGGCAGCGACAATTCCACGACTTCCCAAGATATCGAGAATGCGATTGGTTTGCTTGATAAGCGAATTTTAGAAATGAAGGTAATAATCCCACTGGCTGTTTATATAGACGTCAATATAATTTCATGAAATATTGTTTTTAGACAGAGAACCCCCTGCAAAAACGAGTGCTAATTTTATGATTATGCTAAATTATTATAATAAAAATGTCCCAACAACTGCTTCATATTTACAGGGTTATTATAAAAGGTTCCCCAAACTTGATGGTCTATTAACAGCATATGGAGAATGGAAAAAGTTAGTCATTGAAAAATTGGGTTGCGACCATAAAAGGCTATGATGATCTCTATTTTTATTTGGTTCTTTGCAGTGTTGTCATATCTACTAGATCCAGACACCAGCTTATTTTTTTTCTATGCTGTTACATTTTTAGATTCTTTAAAAAATACTTAATCTTCCTATTTTTGAGATAAAAGTTATTTTTTCGATTTTTTTAAATAACCATTTCCGGTAAAAACCTGAATTTCTGGTTACGACTTACCAATAGGCTGATGTATCATATTATTATCAACCTTGGTATTTACAAAATTATGCATATTTTGTAAAATATCAGAACGTAACTTATGCGCGAATTTTAAAAGGAACCCCCTATATTTAATAGTAGCAGCAAAAAGAGCTATTCATTTTTTATGCAATCATATCACCACTGTGTCGCTATTTTGAACTGTTTCGAAGTTAAAAGCAACAAACAGAATAATACCATGCAAAAAGAACGTTTCAGAATTTTTCATGGAATATAAAACCGTAATGATATACAGGACATACTATTCAAAAAAATTAAATTGGTTTCAAGTTCAGGTAGATGTGACAACGCTGCAGTATCCCAATTAAAAAAAAAAAAAAATAGAGATAGTTGCCTCATATGGCCCTAACCCAATTTTTAAATGTCTATTTCTATGGGCCTTCGAGTTTGGGGAAGCCTGTATGAACATCACTGCCCATTTTAAAATTATTATTTGTTCTTGTGATAGTATGAATGTATTTAATAATAATTATTTATTAATTAGCATTAAACCATAAACTGTCAATTTGGATTTTCGTTTGACTAATTTTGACCTTAATTTCTTGTTGGCGATTTTAAAATTGCCGAATTAAGAAGTCAATAGATCATCCAATTTTCAGTTTTCGTTTCTAAGAAATTCGAGCCTGTTTGACGTTTATCTGACAAAAATATTACGTGATTGGTCGGAACCACTTAAGAGAAATAATATCGCTAAAATAGACTAGAAGGCAACTGAGAGTTTTTTTTGCTGCTTATTAATTTTTTAACATTAGATGTAACGCAGTTAATTTTTGGTTCTATTCTTTAAGTGTAACAGCAAACATTAAACAATTCGCAATGCTCCCCTGCAACAGTTGCAATTTTCTTAATAAGTAACAATTGAGCGATCTATTTAGCGACCGTCAGCCTGGTTTTTTCCTTGCAGGATTTTAAAACTGTCCTCTTGGCACTTTAATTAGAATTTAACGCAATATCGTCGATAGTCTTTTTGTTATTCTAAAGTACTACCCCGTCAGTATAGTAAGTCTCCTTTTAATTAAAATATATATTTTTAATTTTCAGTTTCAAATATGTTTTAAAAAGGTTCATCGGACAAATAATTATCGATGTAGTGACACCCTTAAATCAAATTAATTTTGCTCTTTCTTTTAGACTGGATTTAGTCGTGGAATCAGCTTTGGAAATGACGATTTCTCTTTGGATAATTTGGATCCTCTAAAAAATTAATTGTTGTATGTGATGATGCATGGAGTATTAAATATTATATATTAAGAACTTTGAAGTATGCATTACATTATAATTCTTACTATTATACTTAGATTTATTGCGTATTTTAAAAAACTGCATACCAGTTTTTACGGTTTACGAAATTCGAATCTTTGTTATAATATAGCATTTAGATAAGCACCAAATTTCTTCATATTGATTTGTTGATATTATTATGTTACATATATAATTTTTTAAATATATATAGTTGTTGTCAATAAATCGTTTTATTACTGCTAATCCCATAAAAATTAATTTCTTTTGAATTGCAAACTATCTAAAACAGATTTTCTTTGAAACTTTTAAAATTAAAATTTTCCTTGTCCCTTTATTATCGTATGCCAAAGGTTTTGTAAGAATATTTCGGGTAATTTACACAATATATTATGACAAGCTTCGATTGCAATCAACTAAAACCGCTTTTAATTGCGTACATTAAAATAAAAATATTTACATATGCAAATAGAATAAATTAAATTTTTTGTTGTTTCACCAGGATGACATTTAGTAATAATATCGATTTTAATTAATTTTATATATATGTAAAGAACAGTCTTTTAATAAACCAAAATTTGCGGTTTTGGCATAAAACGTTTTTACCTATAGTGGAATTTCCAAATTTTATAACAAAATAAAATAAACATAACGAATTTACCTTCTACACAGGGTGATTTACTTTAAGTGTCGTATTAACAGTTTTATATAGTGCAATAACAAGCTAAACTTATACGAGGTGTCCAAAAAGTATGGGAATGGTGGAATATCTCGAGAATTACATATGCGATCAAATATTGAATAAGAAAACTGTCCAAAAATGACCTCTTGCCCCAACCCACGGTGATGGTGGCGGAGAGAAAGCCCCATTTTTTATTACAAATCGGATTCTGTGCCACAAAAGGTTTTGACCGTAGTTTTCTTTCATATTCTCAGTAGATGGCGCTGTAATGCCAATGAACCCGAACCACTAGTTACATAGAATCATTATTTATGCTTTTTTTAATAAACAAACGGGGCAAAAAAATACTTTGAAACGAGATCGAACATTTTTGCAAACCAGGTTTCCAAAAAAATTACACCAAAGAAGAAATTTGCTTTGACATTTTATTGCTGATTTTGCACGCAAAAATACCAGGCGCACAAAGAAAACAAAAATGTTTAATAATTTAACATACAGTAAAACAAACAGCTTTATTTTACATAGTCTATACAGAAACAATGCAAACTTAAATGAATTTGACACCCAGCCAGAGTAAATTACATGAATGCAATCGTTTATTGGATTTTTCAGATCGTCCGGTGCTCTGCAGCTTATATTACGTTGGAGTAGGTATCGTACGGTCTATAAAATAAAGCATTAATTTATTTAATAAGTAAATAAGAAAAAAATTGAAGAAAATATTAGTTTTGATAATATCTCGAAAATAAAACAAAACAAAAAATAAAACTCATGTACTCCACTGGATTCTACGTAAAAAAGTAAAATTTAAAGTTTTTTATCTCCATAAACTTTAATAATATCATGTGGCCGATTATTTTCAGAAAAAATGTTTAATAATTAATTCTATCCCCTTTAACGGAATTTTTTTGGAAGAGGATCTTACTGATTAATTAACTCAAGGACAACGCAACGAAGAGCGATTTAATAATGATTCTTCTAAAGTTTTACAGGTTTACTAGATTTGTATCTTCAAAAATTTTTAGTGTAGCGAAATGAACACTTTTAAATTAATTATTTTAATCAAGACCGGTGCATCCTACAAGAGAAACATAAGCATCTGCATCTGCATACAATGCATTTACCGAATTTCTGAATAGGTATAACAATTTCTGAATAGGTATTCTTTTACCTACCTATACAACAAGATGAACATCTTTTTGAATAGAAAAGATGTAGGTCGTGCATTGTTCTAATGAAACTTACCCCGAAGTACATCTGTAAAGGTTTGACACCCCGAGGTAAGTACACGACCTATTTACCCTGCAAATGGTCGGGGGAGAGAACAATTTCCCATTTGGAAGTTTGAGCTTGGTAGATCTTTTTCCATATCTGCAAAAATAAGGGACTATTGTTTACCTGCATCGCAACTCTGGAAGGTTGGTGGCCAGAAACAACATTTCGAATCAACAAATATTATCCTCTTCATAAACTGGCTTAACTGACTATTTATTACCGAATATTTCAAAATGTGCTTACCTTGGACCTCCTAAATAAAAGGAGTCGGCCCGCGGATGTACATTTACGATGTTGACTTCCTTGTTGCTGGATCTTCCGTAACGAAACATGGTTTTAAATTTTGGAGATTCTGGAAAGTAGTCTGTGTCAATTATTAGCAATAACAATTTACATAAAACAACGAACAAATAATTGTTAGTGGTAAAAGAGTAAAATATGTATTTATGTATGTATCACAGGCCATTCAACCGGCAGACGCAGCTACCTAATTATAGAATGACACAATATAGGCTTATTCTATTGAACAAAATCGGAAAGTAAGCAATACATATATCTCGACAATGAAAAAAAGATTTAGAATTAAATAAATTATAACTACGAGTTAAAGAAGTTTATATACGTTTATTTTAAATAAATTTAAGTTTAAATTAAATATATCTATATCTATACCGATTTGAAAAACACGATAAAATTTTAGTTTTTTTCCTGCGACTAAAAGTGCCGTCTCTGGTATCTGAATTTTAAGTTGTTGAAAAGTTTTTTTGTATCTTAGATCTTATCCTATTATTATACACAATTATTACTGACTGGTGGTTGTTGAACCAATTGGTAGTTATCAAAATGAAGCCCAAATTCCTCAAACATATTTTGACAATAGTTCCGACATGAGCCTCAAACTAATTTAGAGTCAAGAATTCTCAAGTTTTTCACTTGGTTAACTCTTCTCAGCTGTTTATTATCAAGCATGACTGCATCAACGTAATTCGTTCGTTAATAGTATGTAGCCCAGTTATACATGTAACGCCCACATCTTTTCAAAATTTGTAAAACCGGAGAAAATGTGGTTTACCATTTGAATAAATTCATGAGCCGCTACGAAACTAGATTTAAAACTAATTTTTAGATTTACATACCAAATAATATACATTTTCGTGAAATAGTGTAATATACATATTCAATTTTACAAACCATGCATTTACTTCATCACTAGTAAGTAAACTAATAAGTCCTCGAGAAAATATGCGTAATTTAATTCTAGAACTCGATTAAGCAAGTCTTCCAAAAACCGCTTTTACCATCAGGGTAGCGCAACTATGCATTAACACAGTGCACAAATTTAAAATTTTTACCTGTATAACGGAATCTAGAGGGTTCGTACAGAGACAAGCATATTGTAATGGTAATATGAACCACAACATTCTTCAATATTCAAAAATGTTTTATAACAACGTGATATTGAAATTTAGTCATTTATAATCATAATTATTATAAATGATACTAAATGATTATAATTAAAGTAATACATAAAAACTCGTGGTATAAGTACTTATAGCTGCTATAATGCATGAAATATCATTTTATTCGGTTAGCAACAATCAAATCGTGGTTATTATTAACTTACCCTGCATTCGTTTGCTGGAAGTATACTCCTTTGTGGCTGCCCAGCAATGAAAATTGGACGTAAAGTAGACTAGAAGTAACAATATCCGCCAGCAAAGCATCTTAAAAAAAACAATGAACCTTTTCATATTGAAGAAGCACATTGAATGTAATTTTGAGGTACAGGTATAAAATTCACGTAGATTTCAATATCAATGCCATTAGTTTATTCATTGGATTTTTGCTAAAAGCTTTTGATAATTATTAGAACCAATAGCTCCAAACCTAACCAAAACAAACCAGCAAAAAACTTGCAACTTTGATGTCAAATAGCTCATGTTTGCTTAAGTTGGTGGATGCAAACTCACTTATGAAAACCAATACACTAATTAGCAATATAAAGCATAAATACGACTTTTAGACCTAGACCCCAACAATATACAGTGTGTCCAATATAAGGAGGGTATTGCATGGGAATATCAGAAATAATAGGAGATTCAGGATCGGTTAAATTAGGAGAGGTTTAAAGATATTTATGAGAATCTTAAATCTGCCCCCAGCATGAATCGTTGCTGAGAAATTCGACAAAATATAAAAAATTGGATTTTCTATTTTTGTCTGTAAAGCCTAAAATCAATTTGAATTTGGGTTTATTATTTTATTAGAGTACTTTTTAAGAATAACATATCCTATTATTATTAAGTTATGAGCGAGGGTCCCATCTTGGTGAATCCAAATATAATTGACCTGTGCTAGCAGTAAGTTAGTATCAAACGATTCCTACAAATCATGTCGAAGAAAATTTCGATACCCGGAATTAGTGATCCGTGGAAAAAATGATCCAATTATCCTCGCACCCAAAATTCACGCCCACATATTTTAAACCAAAACTAATAGTATGCATTTCGTCGGTGGAAGATTCCCTTGATGGTTGCACAAAATATGACACTTTAATTTAAAATACAGCCACGTACATAATTAACTGAAGTTAAACCGTCAATAAAGGACTTTTATTTTTTCCAAGCGTACTATGTTTATTGCAATAATTGGACTGTCAAAACTTTAAATTTTTGGAATGTCTGTTGAGAACGATCATGGCCTACTACTAGATACATTATTTGAAAATATTTTTTATGCTCTTTCTAATAATGAAAATATTCAATATGGCGCCCCTAAGTATCTCGAAAACGAATGAAAAAATTGTATTAACCTCTTCTTTAAAAAGTGTCCTGACAATGTACTAATCCCAAGATCATGTTTGGCGTATTTTGCAGACCAAAATAGAAAATCCAACTTTTATATTTCCTCGAATTTCTTAGAAACGATTCGCGCTGGAATCATTTTGCGGGAACATTAAAGTTTCTCATAAAATTCTTTAAAACTTTCCTAGTTTTACGATATCTCATGCCATACCATCCTTATTATATATACATATGCATTGTCAATAATAATGATTATTTCTATATGCATTTAAAACAATTATTACTTATACACATTTAACATGATTTTACCTGTAAAAAATATTTTTCTTTTTACGTAAACCTATTTTTTTTTTTTCGAAACAAGAACCCGTTCTTTGTGCACGAAATCTATACACCAATTCCCATACGTATATAAAGGCTTTTGAAGTTGCAGGACGATATAAATTTGCATAACGATACATTTATATGTGCATTTTTTCTGGGGTTGCTACGTTTCGTTGACTATGGACTGGACTTTCTAATAAAATAACAAAGAAAATTTTATGCATTAAATATAAAGACCAATGATTTTATTAATTTATTTCCATTCTTTGATTTCTGTACATAATAATATGTTATACATTTTATGCTGCGATTCTGTAAGCCCGGTTTCAAAGTATGTTTGTACTATAGTCAAAAAAATTGAGTTAATTTCATTTGCAGCAAAATCGCACGATAAGCATCCAACGTTAACACCAAAACAACGAATTTACCATTCCATAATAAGATCACTGCTATCACTACTAGGGTGTATATGGTAGGGTGTATAGTCGGTCATAAAACCAAGATAGATGGTGTCTAAATATTTTATCTGCTTCCATTTGCCTGCCAGCCTGCTATGCATATTACACATAGGAAGAATTAACGAATAAATTGACAGAATGAATTAACGCTAGTACAGTCAATAAATTGAAATCCGTTTTTAATCGTCTTCAGTTTTTAATTTAATTTCTATTCCAGCTTGATCCGCATTTTATATCGGTAAATTCGCACCCACATAGTTATTCAGGTGGTCCGTAATTAAACCCTTTCCCGACTTGACAAAACGTTTGCTTAGTGTGTTATTTTAACCCACAGTTAAACGATACTCGGCGTTATTAAGGGAATCCTCCTCGCCTGTTTTCTCTTCTATGTTTTCTTTTCAATGTTAGTTGAATAATTTTCACATTTAATAAGTCGGATTTATTGATGATGCTCACATCTAAATAAATCGAGGATTTGTGAAATGAAGTTGCTATTGGAAGTTTAGATTTCTTTAACATAAAATTAACTGTCTTAATGTATTGTACTAATTTTTATTTAAGCTTATCAGAAACTTCGAAAAAAGTATATAAAAAGGATTAAGTAACAATAGGGACATACGGTTCAACGATTTTTAGATTTCTTATATCCCTTGAATGTTTTTGTCCTTATTTTAGGTTTAATGTCAAGATTAGTAAATTTTATGGTAAAATAAATTCGCTCTCCAATATAGAGAGTATTCGATAAAATGATCCTGAGCACCTAAACAACCCGCTAGAAACTGATTTTAACTGGGGCAGCTTTTAAAGTAATTGATATAATTTAATAAAATATTATTAATATTGTTAGTTTTCTAGGGGTGGGCTTAATTGTCCACCTAATCGGATAATTTTCTGACACAGTAAATATTTTAATCTTGGTAGCAAAAGACTTCAATTCAAAGTCATACTTATTTAATATCGATAAAATGACTACACTTTATGAGAAAAGAAAAACATATAAAGAATTAATCTTTATTTTTAAATTGTTATTAGAAAGTTTTAAATATATTTTTTAAATTTGTACAAGAAAACAATGTTTTAATAAATATTAAATAAATTTAATGAACCATTTCATTCTTGATAGCTTAAGTTGGTTAATTATTTTCAAGTAAAAACAATTTTCAGCGGCATCCTTTACATTTTTATGTAGATCCCACAGACTTTGTACATTCTCCAGTGCGCCCGGTATAAAGATGCAAATTATCAAATGGCAATTTTTTTTCTACTGCCGTCTGTAATATATCTAATTACCCACCGATCTAACGTGCGGGAAGCGTCACTTTACCACGTCAGTTTCGTTTCCCACGAATCCGAGCCATTTCGGACATTTCCGGGATTTTACCGCACGGATTTGGGAGCGATCGGACGTTTTCGGAGATATTTCTCAAGCTTTGAATTTTTCTTTGTTTTGCAAAAATGTACCCAAAAACTAACGGTCGTAGAAAAAGTATTGCATACAACACGTTCGGTAAACTTTTTAACACGCTCGTTTATTAAAAATGCCATTTACCGCACTTGTTGCATAATATACTATATTGTATTGTATTTTGAAATCTGACAATTGTGTTACCAGATTATTCATTTTGATATAGTCAAAGTTGAAACGCATATTCTTTTAAATTAATACTCATGTTAAAGTAGTTTCAAAGACATGATCGCAATGCCGGTTAAGCGGACAACCTGAAAATAAAAATGAAGGAAAAACCTTTAATTTGCTAAAAGCTTTATTTCCATTATCTATAGCAGGTGTTTAACGCAGCCATACATCAGTTTTGTATTATCGAAAATCGCAAAAGTAATAAAGTAATAGGCCCAAAATTTCAATAGCTATCACTTAAAAACCTTGAATATACAGTGGTGGTAAAAAGCATGGAAAGTTGTTTAAGTTTCCTGGAAAAAAATAATTACATTGTTTTGACTAAAGTTATTTAGTTATTTTAGCTAAGTATTTCAATCGAAAAAGACAAAACTCCATTTTACTACATAGTGAAAGTGTATCAAAGAAAAGAAGAAATTATCAATTGGCTGCGCAGTAAGCGTATTAATTAGCCAAAAAATGGTTTAAAATGTGAGTTGTTAAAAATTGTCAAAAATTACAAAACAAACTTGGTCAAGTTTTAAGATTGTTTCCTAAGTGTTGTATATTTAATACCATAGAAGTGGTGTGGGCTTAGTGCAAAATATTTTTTAATAAAAACATTGTAATGATGATACTGTAGTAGTATTTGTTTGGAAGGCCCTCTCTCCAGACTGTTACCAAAGAAAGTTGGATCAGTTGTATACAGAAAATATTATAAAAGAATACTGGGAAAAAGGAATACACTTGATATTGATATCGATATTGATTGTTTTGACTAAAGTTATTTAGTTATTTTACTACAAAAATTAACGAAATATTTTCAATGTTTTAAGTAAAATACAAAATAAGAAAGATATTAAAAATAGCTTTACGCAACTGGCATTCAAAGTGAACTAATAAGAAACCTGAATAAATTAACATAGTAATTATTGAATCTTTTAATTGAGTGCAAAATTTGAATTCAGTGAATTTGTTCAAAATAGTTTTTAAAAAATATTTTCCTTAGCTATCGACTTGTGGTTCTTTATGTCTCTTTTTATTTATTAGGTTAGCATTGTTTGTAAGTATACGTTTTCTATATTAAATTTATTGAATTTATTTACCGACGAAACGTCCGCAAGTTCGACTCAGCAAAAACCGACGCAGGAGGAATACAAAAGTTTTGCAAAAAGTATTTTGAATAATATTTTTAATAATTCTAAGTCAACTTTTATCTTACTAGACAGTGGTTTGATAGTCACTGAAAATTTTATTTGGGATTCTTTCGTGACAAATAAAAACCTATAACACTGTGGCTGTTCTCTTATGAGCTATTAAATTAGTTATTAGAATCTGGAAATCTCATATATAAGTATATATAGCCCATAATGCACTAATCATGCGTGCATAAAGTTTCACTTTAAGACGTCAACCTCATTAGAAACTGTCGCGAGCTACTTCGGACTTTCAGGTTAATTGGCCACAGGTTTCAGACCTGGGATGTTTTCGGTAGATTTGGTAAATGAACGTTTGTCAATTCT